CATCACCAAGGTCAGATGGATCTTGGCAGAAAGCAAAAAGTATCAGGGATATTTGTGTTTCACTGACTATGCAAAGGCATTTGACTGTGTAGAATCACAACAAATTGTGTTTAACCTTGAGGAGAATGGGAATCACAGAACACTTGATTGTGCTTATATAAAACCTTTAAGTAGACCAGGAAGCAGTCCTTAGAACAGAGGAGGGACCCACCACTGCATGGTTCAAAATCAGGAAAGGAGTGTGTCAGGGATACATCTTATCTCCATACCTTTTCAATCTATATTCAGAACAGATCATTCAGGAGGCTTGACGCTGGACTCTATGAGGAAGAATGTAGCATCAAGATTGGAGGAAGACTCATCAACAACCTACAACCTTGCTTACTGAAACTGAGGTGGACCTGATGCACTTGCTGAAGAAGGTCAAGGACTTTAGTATTCAATATGGATTGAAGCTCAACATCAAGAAGACAAAGATTCACATTTTTAAATTAAATTGAAACTTTTTTAAAAAAAGGGCCTGAAAACTCCAATTTAAAAAAAAAATATTTTAAATTGGTTGACTTACAGAGTTTATATATATTGTGTTTTACACTATCCTTCATTCACTTTGTGTTTCATAAAACCTTTCTGATTCGTTAGTTTGCATAAAATCAATCAACACTGAAGTATGCTACCACTGCCATCTTTCTAGATTCCTGTCATATTTTTCCACTTTCCTCAACATATCCCTCCCTCCATCCATCAAATTGTACAACCACATGATTTCCCCTGCTCATCCTCACCTTCTGCTCATACCCTCCCCTTCTTGATTCCTCATACACATTTTACTAGTTATCTTTGTATTTCTACAATAATGGTCTTCTACAATATTTGTCATTATGGGACTGAGTTAGTTCACTCAGTATAAAGTTCTCCAGTTCTTCCAAAGTTATGCAGCAATTTTCAAAACCATTGCTTCTGAGGTCTGTGTAGTATTCCATTGTGTGAATGTACAATTTCTCAATCCATTCAGTTGTGCTTGGATATTTGGGCTGTTTCCATATTCTTACAATGGTGAATAATGTTGCTATTAACATTGGTGTACAAATCTCCATTTGTGTCTCAGTTCTAATTTCCTTGGAGTATATTCCTAGTAATGGAATAGCTGGGTCAAACGAAGTTTCTATGTTCAGCTTTTTCAGGAAATGCCAAACTGCCTTCCAGAGTGGTTGTACCATTTTACAATCCCAGCAACAGTGTATGAGAGTCTCTATCTCACTGAATCCTCTCCAATGTTTATTGCCTTGCTGTCCTGTTACACTTTGCTACTGCTACTGGGGTGAGATGGTAGCTCATTGTGTAAACCTCCAATTTTTTAAAGTGTTAAAATAACAATGAAAATTATCATGTAACAGTCTATTTAGGATTTTGTAAAAAAGTTTTTTACTATTTTTTAAAAAATAATTTTA